ATATATATAATCGTTACTGGGGACAATCCTGATGCTATTTGTCCCCAAATAATAGCATTTGAATTTAGTTCTAAAGCTGGGAATTTAGTTTATATAAAATGACAGCCCACCATTCTTCCTCCATGAGACCCCTCCTGACACAGGGGCAGCTCTGCCAGGAGAACCTCCTGGGTCACAATCTCAAGGGCTAATGTCTGGTGGGACTGATGCACTTTCAGTGACCAGACTGGTATACCAAGATAATTGAGTATGAAGATTGATGAAGACTGGAGTATTTTGCCTGGGCTATAGAAATGTGGAAAGTTAGATCTGTGGGACTTCTATAGCAATAATAATACTACTGTTGGAGCACACTATTGTGATAGTTCCCTAACAGCTTCTGTTGTCTCCGTGATCTTTGTAAAATGCCATTGCGCACAAATCAAAAATCTTGCTTAAAAAAAGAGAAAGAAATCCTTCAATGGAATTCTCCCAAGAAACACTTGTAATTAAAATCTTAACACATATTGGACCAGTAATCTCCCATCATAGGAATTATATCTTGAGGAAATACATACACATGTACACACACAACTACAGACACAACCATTCACACATAATATAGGTATAGGGGTTGGACTTGGGCGAGGCAAATTAGGTAGATAGGTCCAAAATTTCATGCCAACTTCAGGTTTAAATTTTATGTTGTAGGCACTTCACTTGCCTCCCTTTTATCCCAACTCTGTGCTCACACGTGTGAATATATGGGTAAATGAAAATCAGTTCTGTGCACACAAATCAAACTGTAAAAGTCTAACAATCTCAAGAGACAAGGTGTAGGCTTTAAAAGTGAATCCCATTTAGTCGCAGAGAAAAGTGCATTTGAAACAATGCTAAGGTAAAAATAGAAAACAAAATCGTCTATCATATGATAAGCACGAAAAGAAACAACATGTTACATTTGGAGAATATTAGGAAGAAGTCAAAGAAGAAAGGGGGAAGTCCAGTTTCTCAGTTTTTTTGTTTATTTGTTTGTTTTGGGGTTGGTTTTTTTTGTACATGGGATTGAACTTGGGACCTTGTACTTGCGTGACAGGTGGCGGAACCACTGAGCTAAATTCCCGGCCCTCACATTACTTTCTTAATATACACTTTTTTTGAATTAAAAGAACCTCCTTTTAACTGTCCAATCTTCATAAGATAAAAAAATTTTTTCCTTAACCCAGTATTCATGGGCCTTTGAAATTTAGTACAACTCTGTGAATATAGTAAAAAGCACTGAACTGTATACTTTTAAACTGTGAATTATCTGGTCTAAGAGTTACAGCTCAATAAACAAAGGTGACAGGCTCCATCTTCAGTACAGGCTTGTGAACTGAGGCTGGCAGAGGGGTCAGCTTTACATAGTCACCCAAGGCCCAGGCTACAGTAGTTCTACCACAATGTTCACTGCTGTCTAACCCAAGTCTACAGGCTTTGCTCAAAGAGAACAAAAGAGCACTGGAGGGTCTCAAATGAACAATAAATTGCTCTGGCCTGAAAGTGGCACTTATCACTCCCACCTACCATCAGTTGGCCAGACCCAGTCATCAGCCTTGCCTGGCTACAGTGGAATGGAAAAATGTTGCTACCTTGGATGTTAAAAAGCAGAGGCAAACAGGACATGGGAAGCATCAGAAGTCCCTTCCACAGTGACAAATAACTCTTGAGTCTTAAATGTGTTTCAACAATGTAGTAAGCACTTCGTGTACATTATATGAAGCTCTTGCAGCTGTTAATTATAATAACACTAATTCTAACATAATAGTGAATATCTATTGAGCTTAGTATGTGCACAACACTATGTTATGTGTATTACAAGTGTGATAAAAAACCAAGGTGAAGTTTAAAATTATTTGCTCTACAAGAAGCAACTTAAATATGTTCAAGGACCATTTTCATCTCCAGAATTAAGGATTATTTTAATTTTACATCATTGCCTTTTCTCTTTTACTTTCCTTTTTAGTTTTATTTTAGGATTCCCTATTTTTAATGTTCATATAGAGATTTCTTTAACTGAAATAGCGAATAGTTTCTCTGGTGTGAAAAACTATAATGGTACACAAGATCCTAATGAGATAATTAATAATGTGAAATAGGAAGTAAAGGGCTAAAGGTGTAGGGAAAGTGGGAAGGGTGGGGGAAAGGTAACAAGGGGGAGGAAAACAATATGAGAAAATGAAAAAATGGAAATAAAGTGCTTGTAAATGGGGAGGGGAGGAGGGGGTGAAGGGAGGGCAGGGACAAGAGGAAAAAAAATGAGAACCAAGATGTGTCATGTAAAGGTACACGATCCCAATAATGAACATAATTGTATTGTATACCTAGATTGTACCAATAAACTCAATAAAAATTTTAAAAAATATTTGCTCTATTGAAAAAAATATTTCCGTGATTAATTCATCTCAAAATACTCCCACACATACCTTGAATACACCTGTCCTAGTCCTCGGCCACTTTCTGAAGCAGTTCTGGAAATGCTTTTTTTTTTTTCCTGGTGTGACTGTCGTTAGTTGCACTGCTATGGCCGCCTCAATGTATTGAACTGATTCAAAATGTTTATCCTTCATGGTCATTTTAACTTTGGGGAAAAGCCAGAGTTGCATGGTGCAAGATCCAATGAATAAAGCGGATGAGAACACACCATAACTTTTTTATGAGTTTGCCTTTGCATTGGATGCTTCTCAGCAGCAGTATTTACTGAATTTTTTTATCGCACTTTGTAAAGATACTCACAAAATAGGAATTCCAGAACTTCGGAAAGTAGCAAGAATTATGAAATAAGTGTGTTCAAAGCAAAGGGCATAAGGTTCGAATTGTATAATTGATAATGCAAAGTAGAAAGAAAAGGGCTAAAGGAGTAGGGGAAGTGGGAAGGGTAGGGAAAGGAAAAGAAAAAAGTATGAGAACAGGAAAAATGGAAACAAAGTTTTTGTAAATAAAGAAGTGTGGAGGTGGTGAAGGGAGGGCAGGGGAATGGGAAAGAAAATAAGAACCAAGATACATTTTGTAAAGGTACAAGATTCCAATGATGAATGTAACTATCGTATGCCTAAAATGTACCAACAAACTTAATGAAAAACAAAACAAAACAAAGGGATATGGATCAATGACAATATGTCTTTTAGTATAATAAATTTTAAAATTTAAACACTCACCATATATTTTTATCATACCATATGTGTGCATTCAGTTATTTGATCTTCTTAACATCTACTTGCAGTGGGTACTGTTGCTATTAATCCGTCTTCCACATGAAGAATCTGAGGCACAAAGAAGTGAAATGACTTAGTAAGGTCTCACATCAAGTAAGTGTTATGGTCAAGATTTATACCCAAGAAATTTAACTATAACACCCAACCTCTTAATCAGTGGCTTAACCAGTGATATTCATTTTTTCTTACTGCTCTTCACAGCAAAATTTATGCTCCCATGACATAAGTGTGTGTATAATAGAAACACAAAAATCATAAAAATTCTCATTCTTATTATGACTCTTCAGTATATTCTGATGTTTCATATTCTATAGTTTATTTAGTGCCAAGTTGATCAAAAGGAACAAGAATCAACTCACAGTGGCAATTATTTGCACAGAGGAAATATTACACACATGGCCATTATTCGTGACTGTTCATTATTCCCAGCGTCTGAGCCAGCATTTCCAGTTCCTGCAGCAGTAACCATCTCGTTTTTTCTTCCATTGTGAAAGTCCAAGAGAA